CGAGCAAACGTCAGTGGCGCGGCGCGCGCTTCAAGGTCCAGCGGCGGGCCACGCTCGAATTTCCTGTGTCGTCAAAGAGCTGTCCCCGGCAAGTTCTGGCGGCCGCGCGCTCGCCAAGACTCCACCGGCAAGTCCTCTCTCTCTCCGCGAGCCGCAGGCAAGGAAATTAAACGGGGGCGGAGGGGCGGGAGAGGAGAGCCGCGGGGCCGGCGCGTGCGCCAGACACGCGCGTTCGCCTCGCGAAGACTGCGGAGCTTTGACGGCCGAGACCAGCGAGAGACAACAACGCGCTGCCAAAGCTGTGCAACGCGCAACAGCAGCCACGCCTGTGGGGTACGGGCATCTCTGGCTTTGTTCTCGGCCGAACGCAGCTCGACCCGTACTGGCGGCCACGGGCGCGTCGTTTCGGAATCTCGGAATCTCGGTCGACCGTCGAGAAAGAAGACAAGCGGCCGTCACTTGGATCTTGCGCGGCTGCCTGTCGCAGCTGCAACGGCTAGCAAAGAGTATTCCAATTTAAGCTCCGCGCGATAAAACAACAACAACAAGCCCCAGGGCTCGTGCTATATACCTTCAACTCCGCTCGCCGCTTGCAAGTCGCCCTCCGCCCCTCTTCGCTCTCGCTGCTAATTACGCAGTAACAATACCAGGCCATTTCGTCTTACGACAAAGAGACTCGAACGTCGTTTTAACCCTCCCTTGCTGTTACAGTGTTATTCGTAATGAGAAGTGCTAAATTCTAAAGTGCTACCGTCAATCTCAGGTGATTTCTTTTCCTTTTTTCGGTGACCGTTGTTAAATTGTGATTTATTTTTATTTTCTTTTCTTCACTTTTGAAACGGCTTTCTACTCGATTTCGTTAAAAGAGTCATTGTCTTTTTATTTGATAGAAGGTCTCAGAAAGTAATCCCCTCGACTTTTCAATCACAAAAAAGCTGAATGGTTGCATTTGAGTACATGACTTTCTTTTTCAAACTCTTTGGTTTTTGAACCTCCAATTGCACAGCTCATAGCCTCCGTCGTGGAAATTTTCCGCATCTCAAGTGCATCTTAACAAGCTTTTCAGACACTGCTCTTGAATATTTATACCCAGAATTTAAAATTATTTTTCAACTCGAGATACAGGATGACTGAAAGCAATATTTAATTCTATTAATAAAAATATTTTTAAAGGTAAGGTGTAATAAAAAATATATTACGAAAATGCAATAATCGTGCTTTCACGTGCAATCGATCGAAAGAAGAAATGTAATAAATGGTACGCACTGTCATTCAACTCGCTCTCATTGGCAAAGAGACGGCAAGAAGGGGTGCGATAAATTTGGTCGTTGCCACCTCTCTCTCTCTCTCTCTCTCTCTCTCTCTCTCTCTCTCTCTCTCTCTCTCTCTCTCTCTCTCTCTCTCTCTCTCTCTCTCTCTCTCTCTCGGCTAAAATTACCTCCATCAATTACAAAAGCGTGGTCCGAACAGATAATGTCCTCGAATCCTCAAAGCGGCGGCGGCGCGCCAACTTTCATCGTAGATCAGGACTTCGCCGCTTGGCTTTCTACGGCCTTGAATTCATTGTAGATCCCGCATGCCCCCTCCCCTCTTTAATACTGATATAAGGAGCCAGCGAATCGCCTTTCGAAGAAACTGCAAGGAGCCCTGCGGGTCTCACGGGCGCTCGGATTTTTCCGAATGCCCGGAGACTCAAGTTGCATTTGCATGTGAAATCTCTTAAAAACTCTCGGCAGCAGAGTCATTGTTTTCGAAAATTGCTTTTTCGAACCACACTTCGCGGCCATTACGTAAATCAGGCAAAGAATTTATTCGTCCCGGGGGGCTTTTAGTCGTAAAAAAAAAATTGGAAAAACAAAAAGGTACAAGTATTCTCCCATTATATTCTCGGTAAAAAGCAACACTCCAGAGGTTAGGTAACTAATTTCTTCCCGAGCGAAGAAAAAAAGAGACCCCCTAGACGCTTCATTTTTCTTCCGTTGAGAGAGCGCGTATTTAACGTCCAAGCTACCATTAACATAATTCGCCTGCAATTTGTCGGCCATAGCGGGGGTGAGGAGTGAGAGAAAGAGAAAACATAAATTTTTCGCCGCATTAATAAACAAAGGCAAAGTGGAAGGTGCTGGTGTGCAATTACGCTCGCGAAACAAAAAGTACGCTTGCGGATCTTTTTGCAGATATATATAAATAAATATGTGTGCATATATTTGGCAGGGCAGCGGAGAAAAAAATTTCGCCCTTTTGTCCCGTTGATGAACTCTTCTTTTGACGCTCGCTCGCAATAAATGTTTTTTCATAGTGAGCTTGATAAAGCTCCTCTCTTTCTCTCTTTCCTGTACACGTCGAGTGTACCTTTTGTCGTTGTTACTTGAATGCGCTTATTGACGTCGGACTGTTCTGCAAACTCGATTGTCGTGTATTTTTGCCCTTCTTCTCCGGCACTGCAATGCAGCCCGGAAATGTCGTCGGCGAGGCGCGGTGACGAAGGCCGGGGGGGGGGATCAGCCTTCCGAGCTTTTTACGCAATGCCAAAGACATCGCCTCTCGGAGCTACGCACGCAGCCGTTCGAGGCGGAGTTCTCTATCTCGCGTAATTGCATTCGCACAGAGCGAGCTTTCGCGTCCCGCCGAAGGACAAAGCTGGCGAAAAATCCGCACTCGTCGCGCCGAGGTTCCTTTGTGACGCCTCGTCGAGCAGCACTCCAGCGACATTCGCGGGAAGGCGACGCGACACTCAGCGGCGCGAAAATTAATTTGTCGGCGGGAACGCGCGCGCGCGACAGCGAGGGTTTTCGATGACGCCCTGGCCGCCTCTCCGTGCGCGGGACTGCGCACTCGAGCGACGGCGACGCCAGGCCACACGTCCTCACCGCACGTCCGCTCCCTCGCTCTCTTTTTCCTCGAGATTTCCGCCCGCGCGGAGAGCCGGCGAGTGCCTCGCTTGTGATTTCCGCTGCCACTCAGATTTGCCCGAGTGCGATCGGCTTGTTTTTCTTTCTCGCTACCTTTTATTCTCTTGCGCGCGTCGCCAGACTCCGCAAGCTCAGAATTAAAATGTTCACTTCAGTTTTGAATCGAATTCGTGTTCTCTCTGCCGCAGTTTAATTAGTTGAATGTAGTTTCAGTACATCTCATTAAAATTTTCGATGTTTAAGCTAATGAGTTTTGCCGGACTACTAACGATTCCGACGTCTGCTTAGAGACGCATAAAATTAAGGTTCTATGAGCCGAGTTATGTAATGAACTACGCGATACCTATAATCGAATAATTTTCACATTTTCGCAGATACTTTTTGGATCAAGCATTAATCGAAATTATCTTAATAGCTCAAGGATTTTTATTAATTTATTGTGATTTTCCACTTTAAGAAATTAAAAGCCAGCTTTTCGTTCGAATAAGCAGCACTGTAAGCGAGGAGAAAATGCTTTTAAAGATAAAAAACGTTCTTCATTCGAGAATGCATTTCTTAGTTTTAGATTTCGACGTTTGACTTTTTCTTTTTTGTTATTAACGGCGAATTGCGAATGAAAGAGAAGCTCTCAAATTTAAGACGAGCAGTATTTAAAATCAGAATGAACGCTCCTAACTTCAAGTGCCCAGTGTTTCTTGAATTAATAAAATCTCGACTTTGAATTTCCCATGGTTTACTGAATAGACTTCCCCTCGCAATTCCCTTAAGACCAAGATTTTCATTGTAAAGTAGCCTCCAACGGAATTCCTCTTGATTCGAGAGGGGATATATACTTATCGCGAGTGCTTATTGTTATGAAAAGAGGATCGGCTCAAAATGACCGTCCTCTTGCTACAAGAGGATGTGTGTGCTATTTTGTAAGTTAATGCATGCTCGATCAACATATTTTAATTCGGATGAAAAGGTAATCACGGCGAAAAAGATAAGGGTTGTATCGTGAGCGTCGCACTTTTGGGGCTCCAGCTCGAAGATCGCAAGTTGTTCTTGCGAGAAGGTGACGGGGTGTCGCATTACCGTTAAGAGGCTTTCCCTTCTCGCGCTAAAAGCAATGAGACGGCCGAGACGCGAGCCGAAGCGAGAATTAACGGTGAGGGGGGGGGGGGGGGCTCTCGAAACCTCGGGACGAGTTTTGTGATTTATGCAATCGATCGGATTCGTAATCGAGGAACGCGCGTTTCGAGTGTTTACGCGCCGAGTACTCTGAATCCCGATAGCTGTGCCGAGCTTTCTTGCCAGCGTACTTATCGAGAACGCGGCGCAAGTTGCGAGAAGCGCCCGTGATTGCCTTTTCAAGTGTCGACGCCCGGCATCTCTCTCTCTCTCTCTCTCTCCCCTCTCTCTCTCTCTCTCTCTCTCGCTCGCTCGCCTCGTACATTTGGCAATTCTAACGATCGCCGATTTACAGCGACGGCGGATTTCCCGTGTAAAATAGTCCGGCCCGTTAATTCTCGCGTGCAAATCCTAGCGCACTTTTGCCGATATTCAGGGGCTGACACAAAAATATACGATCGAGGGATCAGCGCGAAAGAAAAAAAAAATGAAACTTGCTCGCGCTCAAATGAAGTTCCGTCGTTTTTTTTCTCTTTACCTCCCTCCCGTTCGCCCGAATATATTCATAAAAATATCGATGTGAGCTACATAAAACATGAGGGTCGCGCGGCGCGGAGAAGTCTGAGATATTGACTTTCAATGCGGCAGGCGCGGGAGCCCGTGAGTCTTCCTCCTCGCGCAAATCGATCGCGTACAAATTGCCCGGGTCGGGGTTCGACAGAGGGAGGACAAGGGCAGGCCCCCGGGCCCCAACGTCGGTACGCCGACGAGAGGGCGGATGCGTCTTCCCGCGTCGAGTCGGGCTCAGGGATGTTTGCCCACGAACGCAACAGGTCCCGAACGAGATAAGACCCGTGCGCGGGATCGCGCGCCCCCCTCCCCCGTGTGCCGCCAGCCGCTTCTTTTGCGACCTGCGGACCTCGCGTCCGAACAGCCTCATTGCGCCGTTACATGAATACCGTCTGCTTTGCTTCGCAGGTGGTGCACGGGGTGCACATAGAGCCGGCGCACGAGCTGAAGAAACGGAGCATCAATCAGCAGCTGCGGATCCTCCTTCACTACGATCACAGCGTTTACAGGTTGGTTGAATCGAACTTGATAGAATCAGCAGCAGCGAGAGCGGCGCCGACTCGGCAGGCGCGCAAGCGTTGCCGAATGAATAACGAGCGCGCGCACGTAAACAGCCTGTGAAAATTGACCTTAAACCAAGTGCCGCGGGGATGAAGTTACGAAACTCGAGTCACGTATCAGTTAGGAAATGCCGCTCTCTCTCTCTCTCTCTCTCTCTCTCTCTCAGTTGTCGGAAGTTTAGCAGTTGCTAAATGCCTTTCCAGACCAACTTCCAAAGCTCCGCTTTCCTCCTCTCGCAAACTTTCAGACAGCAGCAGCAGCAGTAGCCCCTTTCTCTTACTTCACGGCGCTGCCGTCGGAACCAAATCGTATTAATTCAGTTTTAATCTCGTCCGTTTCAATGCAACCATCGTTCGATTGGCGCTATTTTTATTTTTTTTTTAATGTACCAATCATCGGGACGGCTTTACTTTTACCTTTTGAACTATCATTGGTTTCGCGCGAAATGCCCTCGAAACGTAACGGACGGTAAATTGGAAAATTCGCGTCTCGTCAAAGTTGAAATTATCAAGTTATGCGTATCGCGAAAACAAGAGAGACAGCTCGCGCGAGGCACTCCGCATCATACTACGGAAGGGTATCAGTTCGAAACAGTTTCGCCGCCAAACCGTACAGAACGATGGCGGCGCGTGCGGTAATCATCCCTAACTCAATTCAAGTCCGAATACGTTGAAGCTTCGCTAAAGCTATTTTGGCAAGGTTATATATTTTTCGAACCACGCTGACTACTTTCATGTTGACGTTTTTACATCAACGGTAGAAAAAATGATATTCGATCATATTCTTCTTCTAATATTGTTATAAAAATTCATCTTTGACTACTTTGATGTTGACGTGTTTATATCTACGGTAAGAAAAGTGATATTCGATGATATTCTCCTTCTAATATTGATATAAAAATTGATCTTTGCCGGCTTTCGGAAAACTTTATCGAGCCTGCTTTTTATATCCGAAAAAAACAATACTTGAATATTTAATAAATGCTTTCTACGTGAAGATGATACTAGAATATTTAGGAAAAGTTAATGCAAAATTTTAACATATGAAAATAATAATTAACAGCGTTTGCTTGGAGAATTTTCAGTAAATTTTTCATCATTAATAATTGATACTTGAACGTTTAGTAAATGTCTAAAATATATTCCACGCATAAAATAATACTCGGATATTTAATAAATATACTTTATGCACTTATTTAAACGCTAGAAAATACAAATCTAACATTATCAAGCAATTGAAAGAGCTCCGCTTGCGTATCGCATCGTCAGAAAGAATATTCTACATGCGTCGTAATATAGCACATCAGCGCGTGATGCCTTTCGGCCAAGAAACAGAGCAAACCGCCCCCGTAGCTCGTCAGCAAACAAATCCGCGGACGTCTTTGAAGAGGCTGCTCGCTCGCAAACACAATCTCGCACAGCCCCCCCCCCCTCCCAGCGCGGTAAAGCAAGCGCTGTCGCACAAAAAAGGATTTGCATTGTATGAGAAATTATACGACGCCGTGCGGCGGCAGCGCGACAACAGAGAATCTTTCATAAGACGTTCGTGCGCAAAAGCTTTACGCGTCATGAAAAAAGGCTTTACGACGCGTTTAGAAAACAAAAAAGGAAGAGATTAAAAATAACCGAAGTGATTTTTTCTGTTCATCAATGTCCTTCCGCCGTCGAGTGTAAGTTTGCCGGTTAAATTAGTTGTCTTTATTATTTTTAATCGTCACGTGGAATACATAATAATAAGAGGAATTCAACAATGTAGTGATTTACAATGGATGTGGATTTTATAGCACTGTAAAGAAGAAACAAAATAAACGAGAATAAGGCTATTATCTTGGCGAATAATTCATCATAAAAACAAATATAAAAAACGATCTTTTATTTACTTTTGTTCTCTGTTACTCGCACAGACAATAAAGAAGTCGTGAAATGAATTTCCACGCGTAGTTTTTTTTCTTCCTTTTCAGGTCAACGAGGAAGATATTTAATTTAAAAAATGCGCCGCCCATCTAATGGCATTTCGCAATTAGCTCCACCGAGGCAAAGAAATGACATAATCGCTCGTCGCGGGATTATTATACTACAACATGCACTTCCTCGTATTGCAAAGGCTCATCGAGCGAACGTAATTTATCGTCGCGTGCCTCGCTCTTTGGCTGTAGTTGACAAATCGCTCGCCGAGGCTTAATCTCTCTCTCCCTCTCTCTCTCTCGAGTTTTGTAATGATCTTGTGTCGTTTGACAAGCCGTGTGCGTGTTGAATTCCCGTTCTTTTTTTCTTATTTGGCAATATTAATTTATTTGCCGACTTGAGAACATTTGTAAAAAATAAAACACACCTGTTATGATGTGTGGTTTGACGGAATACTGGAGGGTCTTCGATGAAGAGAGGTTTTGAAATTTCTCGTTTCTTTTTGTACGTAGAGAACTGTACGTCAGTCGTAATCAGTTCATCCGTTCAATTCGCTACAAAGAAATTCTTATTTTAAATATGCCGCAAATTTTACGACTTTTGTATTTTTTTATTATTTCATGCTTAATTGCCGTTTGTAACAAAAGGTAAACTGAAACGACGAATTTATTCGACAAGAGACAATGTCCAAAATAACACATTCGAACCAAATACGGTTATTAAATTTCAGTAACTTGATTTTTAATGATTTCGAATTTTTTTTTTTTAGATTCAATAAAATTTCTACAATGACGTTTTATAAGATATCCAATATTCACCCACTATGATTTCAATAACTAATCGTAACCGCATTCAATAATGGAAGACCGAAAATCAGCCCTCAGGAAATAATAAAAGAGCATTCAACGACTTTTTTCGTATAGCTGACTAATCGAAAGCGTTAAATTACGAAAACATGTCAGGTACTCAATTATCCTCGGCAATAACCGATCGTGCCGGCAATAAAGTGTCCTTAGAGTGCAATTTAACTGTCTTCGAGAGATGAAGTTGTCCTGTCCAGAGTACAGGCACACTCAACACAGACACAAAGAAAATTACGAGAATGATGACGTTTTAAGGGAACCAAACTCCGTTAGGTGCTTACTTGTCTCATACGCTCACCACTCTACTTAATTTTCTTTTTTTTTTCAAACATATAGTTTTTCAAAAATGATCTTGTATTTTATTTTTGTTTGTAATCCGATAATGTTGTCATGCCGTTTATACATTTTTCATCAGAATACGAAGCATCGGAAAAAAATATCAAAGAACGTCACGACAGAAATAAAATTGTCATTTATCATCCATTGCTCTTGGAAGTTTATTTTTATGATCGATATCGAAAGAATATTCTTGAAAGCTTGAAGGAAAGAAAAAAAAACGAGAGAATATCTAACTCGACGTAAAATTTATATCCCATCAAGGGATGAAAATTTTCAAACGCGATAATACATCAGTTGTTACGATCATAAAAAATAGCAGCTCGATAAATCGAAAGACACGGGAAGGGAGAAGCTTTGGAAATATACAAGATTCGTTGTAAAAATGTCCAACAACGCGAGGCGCGCGTATAAAAAAAAGCTACATTAATCCGCGTGTACCAAACGCGCACAGCTGCTCTCTCTTTTTTTTTCGGTGCTCTTTAGAGTATAAAATCGCGATTATTATGCTTTGTGTTTTTGCCGTGCTGTCGGAACAATATGTGTATAATTTCGCTTGGAATTTTAACTGCGCCAACGTCGACAGTTGAATAATAAAACGTTTAAAAATATCGATATTCCTGCGTTTGTTATGCCTGTTTGTTTTATCTTTTGTTTCTATAAATTCTGCACAGTCGGCTGCGAGGCATCGCGGATTATTCGTATACTTCTTTCGAACGGCGAAAGACTGGGAAAAAAGAGGGACAAGGTTCGTTAATTTGGAGAAAAGCGCCAACGTCAAGAATTTTCATTAAAATTTAATGAAGAAAAGTTAATCTCTCGTATATAATAGAAGGCTAACACAATATTCGAAAAAATGCCAGTCAACGTGAAGAAGCAGCGAATTTTTCGGGAGTTTATGAAGCCGCACGGTAATTAATTCTCTCTTCCTGTCTGTTTCTTTGGTTTTGCAAGAGAAAGCGACGTAATACTAGTTTTGTTTAATTTTAAATAAAAATTTGCATTGAATAATGGAAATGACACAGTGGAATAATAAATAGTTTACTGCGTTTCGTGGAAAAGAATGTCGCTTAAATGACGTTGAAGAGGATGTAACTAAAAAATATATGTATGCGTGTACATATACATATACGTTTACTTGAACATTTTTTGACATCCCTGCATTTTTTAGTTGAAAATTATCAAAAATATGTAAATATATATTTATTTATTTTGATAAATTTTAGCCCTTCTGCATTCTGTAAAAGGGTTACATCTACAGCGATAGGTACGACTAATTTTAGGTTATGTTAAGTACAATTGTTTGATAAAATTGATAAAGGTCGTGAGCGCAATTTGAAAATGAAGTGATAAAATAACATAACATACGTGCAAAAGAAATTGAAAAACGTGAAAATTTTAACACAGCGTTCATATTCCAAATTCAGTGTCGGAAAAAATATAAATACACTAAAAGAAACATCTGCTACTGGCAAAATGAAAATGAAATTCCCCGCATCATTAATCGAAAATTCTAAGTTATCCCTCTCGTAGAGAATTATTTCCAATGTTATCTCTGGAACTTTTCAAATCCAAGCACCCCTGGGATAACAACATTCCATCCATTTCATGTCGAAAGCATTCTGCCTCTAACGGAAAACTACAATTAGTGGCCTTTCCCCCTCTTCTCCAAATAAAAGAAGAAAACTCCAATAACAATCTACAGCAGTGGGCGTCAGATAAATAGATCAATAACGAGGGGAGAAGGAAAAACCGAGGGGAAACTAAAAGACAATGGAGGGGAAATAGCAGAGGTCGCTTTTCTAGTCCCGGTGAAAAATAAAAGGCTTGCTGCTCGCTGAGGCC